TACTCCTGCTGTCAGCTCGACGCCTGGGACCTGGCCTCAGCCCAAGGCAGCATGAGGACGTGGAGCCAGCGGGCCAGGAGCAGCTCGGGGAAGGCGGCCCGGTGGCTGGGCTCTGGGGGGAACCGGCTGTGGGGGCTGCTCAAGATGCTGGGTGCCCTGCTCTTCCTGGTGCTCATGCTTCTCCTGGGCAGCCTGCGGCTGTGCTGGCGAGTCTCCAAGTCCCTGCTCCTTGCTGGGGCAGCTAAGCTGGGCAGAACCAGCAGCGTGGCCCGGCTCCTCTCGCTCCTGGACGCGCCCCTCCTCCGCAGAACGTGGGCTCTCGTCACCGAAACCAGGACTTGCAAGTACGTGGCGCACGTGCTGCAGAAGTGGAGAGGGCTGCTAGGGGCAGCCAAAGGGCTAAGGACCGATGGGCTGGGAGAGGCTGTGGCTGGCCCTGATCCCGGCCCAGGGGGGCGCTACCAGCCCAGCCAGGAGGTGGCGCGGCTGCTGGCCCTGGCCGACGTGCCTGAGGAGGAGCTGAACCCCTTTCAGGTACTGGGGCTGGAGGTGACTGCTTCAGACACGGAGCTGAAGAAGGCCTATCGGCAGCTGGCTGTGCTGGTGAGTGTGCCCTGGTGTGGCGGGGGACGGACGGACATCGCACCCAGCCCCATGGCACCCGAGCACCTGGGGGGCATGAGGCAGGAACTCCATTTGAGCTGCATTGCCCTCTTATGGGGGGAGAGTGAGTCACTCTTCTCTAGCCTCTCCCCACCGAGGCTCAATATGCCTACCCCCCTGCCCCCATATTACAGATGAGTAAACTGAGACCCACACAGTTAGGGTGACTTGTCCAAAGGCCACGTAACGTGTCTGTTTCAGAGCTGTGGTGAGACCCAGATTCCTTCCTGTGAATCTCTTGCTTTGGCGGGTCCGCTGCAAGGCCTCACCAGTGGCGTGGGGATCTGTGTTAATCACTGGCGGCACCAGCAGCAGCTCCCGAGTTAAGCTTGTGCTGAGACTGGCACGGGCTGCAGGGCCGAGCAGCTGACTGACTCTAGTGCCCGGTGCTGCCTGGTATCTCAGCAGGGGACGCTGGGCTTTCCACGTCCTTTATAAAGTGAAAATTCTGCTTGACGTTTTGCCCCATGTGCTTCCTGTTTTCCTGGGCTCTTCTAAAGAGTCACGGCCCGGGGCAGCCTTCTCATGCTTCCCGGCCCCAAGGGGATCCGCCTCCTCTTGCAATTCTGTCTCCTCCACTGTGCCCCTTGTTCGGAGGAACAACTCAGCGCCATCAGCTGTCCTCTGACTGTCCCGGCTGGGGTGAGGAGGGACTGGCAGAACAAGCTGAGCTCTAGGGAGACGTGGGGACCTGTCGGGGGGCAGGTGGAGCCTGGCGATTGCACCCTGCAGGCCAGGGCAGCAGCACCTTGGGGCGCTCTCCGAGCCCTGACACCTCGGGGTGGTGGCGGCCCGTCCTGACGCAGCTTGGCCAGTTGGAGTCGCCATGCGAGCACCATGGAGTCACGGCGGGGGCCGCGCTGGGAGCGCTTGATGGCTTTGAGGCTCCCCTTGGTGCTGGCCATCCCTTCTGCCCCAGCTCATCAGCTGGGCACCCCCTGTTTTGTGCTGGCCGGGATGGGGAGCCCTCCTGCCTTTGCTGCCTGAGAAGGAAGGCGAGGAGCTGCCAGGCAGGGGTCGGGACCCCAGAAGCGGCTGAGGCTCCCCAGCTCAGTAGCCTGGCCCCAGCCAGACCAGAGTGGACTGGTTGGCCTCGTCTGAGGACATGTAGCACCCCCTCCTTCTCCTCCCCACCCCCCCCGACCCATCTGGCTGTGCTGCCCTGCCCCTGGAGGGGGCTCTATCCCGGCCAGACCCCTCGCCCCAGACGAGGTCCGCGCCGAAGGTGTTCTCAGGTTTCAGTGTCTTGCTTTGCAGGTTCACCCTGACAAGAACAAGCATCCGCGGGCGGAGGAAGCCTTCAAGGTGCTGCGAGCCGCCTGGGACATCGTGAGCAACCCGGAGAAGAGGAAGGAGTACGAGATGTGAGTGGGGGGCCCCTTCCTGCCCCCCAAGGCAGGCCAGGCGAGGGATGGAGGGGCGCCTGTGGTCGCTGGTGGCGGGTTAGAGAACATGGCCTCCTCCGTCCCACCTCTGTGTGCTCGAGGGACGGGCGACAGGGAGGAAAGTGGGCTGGGATCTTGGGCTGTGCTAATCAGTCCCACCGTGACTTGCCGATCTGAGCTGCCCACCAAAGTCGGTGCTCTGGCTTCAGGCCTGCCCTGGGACTTCTGCTTCCCCAGCTGACTGGGGGAGCAAGGATGGCGCCTTCAGACGGGTGTCTTGAGTGGGACCGGTCCTCTTCCAGTACTCGCCACTGCGAGACATTGCTTTCAGGCCCGAGGGTGGGTGAACCTCCTGTGCTCTGCTGGGAGGACACAGCCAGGAATTTCTGAGCGAGGCACTAAGGGCTTTTGATGAGCTGTTGGTTATGAGAGCAAAGGCAGAGCACAAGGGGGTTTAACCGAGAAACCTCCTGTACTTAAATCCCCTTTAGAAGTCGCTCTTAGACAGACTCCGGTCCCCTGTCAGAGAACTGGCATGTGGGAATTTCAGGCGTCCGATTATAAGTGAAATCCCTCCGGCTCTTCTCTTCTCACCTGTGATCAGTGTTACGGTCGGGCCCAGTGGCCCAGGTCAGGGTGTGGGCGCTGTTGTGCTAGGAGCTGTACAAATGTGTCCTACAGTCAGTCCCTGTCCTAGAGCGCTTACTGCCTGGGTTAGCGAGGAGCCGCCACAGGTGACGTGAGCAAATGGGTGGGGATGGGAGGAGGGCTTACCATGCTCGAAGCACCTTGGCGCACAGGCTGGTGCGAGTGGTGCAGTGCGGCGTCAGACCCGGGCTGATGGAACAAAGCGGAGGCTATCCAGGCCTGGCTGCCTGGCCCGGCGGCCTCCCAAGTGCTGATCTAGTGCCGGGCTTCTGCCACCACGTCTCGGCCAGCGATGGCCTGGGGAAGAGGTAAGGATGTGTGCCCCCACGCTGGCTGCAGCAAGACCCTCGTGCAAAGCCGGCCCTGCCACCGACGAGGGCTGAGCCCAGCAGGGAAGGGCGTGGGCTGAGTGCTGGGTGCAGAGGCTGTGCTGTGCCAGTCCCCCCTGTGGGCTCCCTGCCTGGGGCGTGACTCAGCCCCGTGCCGTTGTGATTGCAGCAAGCGGATGGCGGAGAGCGAGCTGACCAAATCCATGAATGAGTTCCTCACCAAGCTGCGGGAAGACCTGAAAGAGGCCATGAACACCATGATGTGCAGCAAGTGCCAGGGGAAGCACAAGTAGGTGCTGGCCTTCGGTGACTGCTTTAACCTCTTGCTTGCGGGCCTGGTGCCCTGCCTCCTCCTGGGGCACGGAGCGTTACCCCTCCATGGGGCCTGGGGCTCAGGAGCGGGCCTGGCCCTGCCTGGGGGCCGGAATGGATCAGCCAGACGATCCTGCAGCTGGTGGGCTCATGTCCTGGCTTTCCCACTTAGCTGCGCTTCTTCCTTCGGCACAAGTGTTCTCTGGTGCGGGTTGGCCCAGAGCATTCTGGGAATTTGGGGAGCTGTGGGAGGGAGGACGCGTCCCTCTGGGACGTGACATGGCAAAGCTGGCCCCGCTCTACCGGCGTTTGAAAATCTCCCTGCTGCTCTAGGAGGTTCGAGATGGACCGAGATCCGCTCAGCGCTCGCTACTGCGCGGAGTGCGGCAAGCTGCACCCTGCCGAGGAGGGAGACTTCTGGGCCGAATCGAGCATGCTGGGGCTGAAAATCACCTACTTCGCCCTGATGGACGGGAAAGTCTATGACATCACAGGTAGGGGGCGTCTGTGGGGCCAGGACATGCTGCCTGACTAGACCGTGAAACTGCCCAGTTGTTTGCCAGCCCCATGAATAGCAGTTACCCCAGGCTGATTAACCTGTGTTTAAACCTTCCTCTGCTCCCGATGGGTCAGGGCCTAGCACGCCTCCCCCTCGGGATCCCTAGCCCAGCTGGAGAGGAGGACGCCAGCCCTTGGTGGGGGTGCGGCTGCCTCCTGCTTTCCCTGAGCGTGTCATTACTCCTGCGCTCCGGAGGCTGGGAGGGGTGATGGCGGCGGTTGCTTCCCGCCGGCTGATGGTGTGTCCTGCCTGTCTGTCTGCAGAGTGGGCCGGCTGCCAGCGGGTTGGAATCTCGCCCGACACCCACCGCGTCCCGTATCACATATCGTTTGGAGCGAGGAGCTCTGGTTCGGGTGGACGCCAGAGGTGGGTACTGGATGCAGTTCTGGTTCCTTCGTGCTCTCGCCTTGGTCTGAGGGGGTGGGGATGGGTCCAATCCCAGACTTGAGCACTTCTGGGGGAGCTGTGGCTAGCCATGAGTTACCTCTGGCATCCCCCATCAGCGGCCCGAAGGGAGCTGAGTATGTCTCCTAGATGGGGTCAGCAAAACTCCCCACTTTCCTAATTGTGCTAGTGCTGGGCCCTGGAACAGTGCCCCCTTGTGGCAGAATACTGCGCTGCGGCTTTAAACCATGCGGACTGAGGACAGGTTATTCTGCACAGATAAAACTCCCCCTTTCTGTGGCTGTTGGAGGACCCCTCCCCCCCCCGTCTTTACAGACGTGTTTAAACTAACGCCGGCCAGCGATCCGTCCTCTGTCGCTGTCAACCTGTCCTGTCTCTAGCTGCCTGGAGTTCCAGCTGCCTCCCCCACTGGGTGGAATGGTCACGGGAGCGCAGTGATCCCCGAGCCCCCTGCCAAGTGCCATCCAATGCTTCTGAAGTTAACAGGAGGGCAGGTCACTGAGCCCCTGGCAGGATCGGGCCCCTTAGCCTCACCTCGCCCTCGCTGTGTGGCTGCTCTCCCTGGCGAGGAGACCGGGAGTGGCCTGCCTTGAGAGTCCCTGACCGAGCTGGGAATAGAACCCAGGAGCCCCTGCCAACCACTTAGACCCCTGAGGTGGGGACAGAACCCAGGAGTCCTGAGTGCCGACCCCCTGGCTCTAACCCACTAGCCCTTGCAAACCTCCCTTGGCTGGCCATAGAACCTAGGTATCCTGACTCCCTGCTTTAACCACTAGACCCCACTGATCTGCCTCTCGACACCCAACTGCATGTGTAAGGGCCGTCTCTCGTTTCCCCCAGAACCGCCTCTGAAGGCAGCCCTACCTCGGCTGCAGACCTGCAGGACTTCTTCAACCGCGTATTTCAGGGGACCCCAGGGCAGATGCCCAATGGGGGCTTCTTCAGCCCACCCCAACCCCCTCGGGCAGCAGCTCCTTCTGCTCCAGCCCCGAAGACAGAGAGTGCAGCCCCAAAAGGGGACTCGAAGCAGAAAAGGCGGAAGAAAGTGCGCCGTCCCTTCCAGCGCTGAGGAGCAGCGTGGCCGGTGGGGGCGGCTTTGAACTTGGCCTGGCAGGAGGCCACAAGCACTGGCAGGAGACGAAGCTCCGGTGGACGTTCCAGCAGGCAGCTGGGTGCGTCCCAGGCGCTAGGTCGGACACTAAAGGGCTCTTTACAAGAAGAAGAATCTATTTTTTTTTCTTTAGATATTTAAAAGCAACCAGGCGTTCGGGGAATTTCCGGCTGACGCCGTTAACTTCTAGCGTAAAGAACCAGCCCCAGTGATACCAAAGAACTCCAGCGGGGGGTGCCCTGCAGGATCCCTGGAGACACCAGCCCAGTGTATGGGGAAGGGTCTCTGCTGGGGTGGGGGAAGCTGGACAGAGCCATGGAATCTCTTCAGGGTTACTTTAAAAATCAGGGGATGTTTCATTTCCATGAAGGCCACACCTGGGATCCATTGGGAGGCAGCCATGTCCCTTCCATCCCCCTGCCTCCCCTTCTCATGGGCAGCTCCCATTGAAGTCTGTGTCTCGCAGCCCTGCGAGAGCTGGGGGAGCTGTAATCCCTCAGACACAGCGACTGAGCCGCATCCCGTAGAACTGAGTTGCGATTTGGCCTCCTAAAGCTTCTGCAGCAGATCGGATTGACCCCGCCCGTCCCCCGACTCCTCACCCTAGAAGAGCCAGGCCCAGCGTTAACCCCCCCGGTGCTGGAGGGCAGCTTGCCCAGCTCACAGCTGCCTGGAGAATGCTTCCAGGGAGCAGCCTGGCCTTGGCCCTGGGAGCCCAGACTGAGTCCCTTGTCTAACTCTTGCGGAGCGTTCTCCATACCTGCTGCTGTAGCCAGTGCATCTGTCTGCGCTCTCAGTGGAGCGGGTGGGGAAGCCTTTTTCCCCAGAGATGAAATGAGGCAGGGGCGGGTGCTCCCTTCCCACTGTGCTGGTAGCACAGGCTGGCCCCTAGCTTCATGCTTATTTCCCCCACCCCATCTGATTTTTGTTGCTGATTTCCCCTCGGCCCTGATTCCCAGCCGTGGGTAGCTTTCCTGCCAGCTGGGCTCTGCCACAGGCCTGAGATGCAGGACAGCGGTTCCTCAGCAGGTTTCTCTGGGAGCTCAGGTGTGAGATGTTGTCTTCACAAGTCTCCTGAGCTGTGCAGCCCATATTGAATTTACTATTCACAGGGATGCTGGCCGGTGCCAGCCGCTCGCACACACGGGGACCAGACTTTCCAAAGGAGCAAGGTCAAGTTTGTAAGCCCAGCCCCAACCTGGTCTGCTTCCGCTGGGCCCTGTCAACTCCTGGCAGTTAGACGGGTCTGTAACTGTCCAGCCTCTCCCTGAAGGATTGGTCTTGGGTTTTAACAGCTGGTTCCTCTTTGTACATATCTCTCTTATGTGCATACCCCTTGCGATACAGAGAGCTCAGTCCCTGAGAGCAGATGGGGGAGTGCTTCCCCCCCTTCCCAGGGCAGCGTCACTCAATTCCGTGCATTACACCTCAGCTTTCTGTTGGCACTTTCTGTAACCTCCGTAGGTTTGCTCTGCCGGTCGCTAACACGCACCCAGCTCAGAGCGCTGCCGCTGAAATACTTTGACCCCAGGTGCAGTAAAGCTGATTTTTAAGTTGTGCCAGGAAGTAACTCATTTTACTTGTCAGGTTGTTTTTGGCATTCCACTGCTGAATTTCCAAAACGAAGTGGATTTAGGGTAGGGCCTACACAAACAATTGTGTGGGTGTGAGCAGAAAGCTCTGCTTTAGGATTAAACGGGTGAGTGTATATTGAACAATTCCCTATGCCCCTGCAAAATAAACCCCAGTAGGATTACATGAGTTCTCTTCACACCCACCTTGTGTCCAGACCCCACTGTGCAGGTGTGAAAAAGGGGGACATCACTAGCAGGAGGCCTGGCCCCCGCTAAAGCTGGATTTTGGGCTAGTGGAAGAAGTACCTCAGGACACCCTGAATCTTCGTTGGTGCTGCCTTTGTCTGTGAACTAAGGCCTGGCCTGGCTGCCCTGGACAGGAGGGGTGAGGTCAGGTATTTCCTCATCACCTTCCTTCTAATGACCAGACAAAGCGCTTTAAAACCAACCCTCCCAGCTCAGCCTTCCTCTAGCTTTGTTACGTGAGCCTCTGTTCCTTCGGTGAAGGGTGTGACGGGAACCGCTTAGCTGGCTTCTCGTCAGCCTGTTTCTCCCCCAGGTGTCACTTACCTGCAAACCCGGATTCCTCTTCCCAGCGTGAACTGTGGGCAGCAGGACTGAACCCTGCGGGGAGCAGGGCTGTAGAGCTCTTTGCCTCTGGCTACCTGGTTCTAAGGGCAGCTGAGCTGGGAGTGAGTCTCCGCATCAGATGGCTAGTGGGGGGGCCTTATGTGAAATGAATCAAGGGTCTTTAGCTGGTTCCTTGCAGACGTGCATCCATGTCCCTAAAAATTCCAGCTACAGTGGGTGCAAATGTGGGGCCCTCTGAGAGGGCAGCAGGATTGTATGCAGCACCGCAGGGTCTGACCGGACCCCTGAGGAGGTGCAAGCTGTGCTCCCTCTGAGGCGGGGGGGGGAGGGGGGCAGCTTGGACTGTTTCTGCCAGGGCTTTACCTGGTCTGCGAGAGGCGGCCCACATCTGGCACCCTATCCCCTCGCTCCTGGGCTCAGTTTACCTTGAGCTGAGCAGGCAGCCGTTAGCGCTAGGGTTGAAGTTGGTGGGAGGAGGAAGCAGTGTTTTAACACGAGGCCAATCCCAGTCACTGGTGCATAATGGATGAATGGACAATGTAAAGCCGTGCATCCAAGTGAACGGCTGTTCTAATCATAAGAACGGCCATACTGGGTCAGACCAATGGTCCCGCTAGCCCAGTGTCCTGGCTTCAGATCGTGGCAGGTGTCAAGTGCTTCTGAGGAAGTGAACAGAACAGGGCAATCATTGAGAGATCCAGCCTGTCTTCCAATTTCAGCATCTGGCAGTCAGAGGTTTAAGGACACCCAGAGCATGGGGCTGTGTTTCTGCCCATCTTGGCTAACAGCCATTGATGGACCTCTCCCCTGTGAACTTAACTAATTCTTTTTTTGAACCCAGTTATAGTTTTGGCCTTCACCACATCCCCTGGCAAGGAGTTCCACAAGTTGACTGTGCATTGTGGGATCCATTGTTGGTTTTAAACTTGCTGCCTATTAATTTCATTAGGTGATGCTTGGTTGGTTTGTTATGAGAAAGGGTAAATAACACTTACTTTCTTCACACCATTCATGACTTTATCAACCTGTCATATTCCCCCCTCCCCCCATCTCTTTTCCAAGCTGAGCTGTCCCGGTCGTTTTTAATCTCTCCTCACCTGGAAGCTCTTCCCAATGGAGCTCCACCTTGAGCTCTCACACGTGGAGAACCAGGGCTGCTGGGGATTTGCTCTCTCTAGTTCTCAGCTGCAAAGGACACCTTGGCTGGTAGTGCCTCGCTGACCCCAAAATGTGCATTAAGGGGCATTGGAAATATACCAGGAGGGCACAACTCCTCCAGTAATGTTCTAGCTGCCATCACATGGGGCAGGAAATGAGGCAGCTCCAGAATGGTGATGTCCTCTTGGTCTGTATGCTCGTGGCTTCTTGTTGGCTCCTCTTGGGCAGCTGCCACAGCCACCTTGCTGCTCTTTACCCCTCCATGTTTAAGGGGGAGTCTGTCTACTGCTGGGCTGCCGGCCTCCTTCGCTTGTCTTTTCATCATGAGCAAGTACAGCAGCGCTTGCCTTTGGCAGATGCCAGAGCCTCTCTTTCGCTGGGGCCTCCCTGTACACTGAAAGCCACAGGCTCACCGGCTTTGAGCCGAGCATGCCCAGGAGAGCAGCCACGCCCCAGGCCCCCTCCCTGGTCTCACCTGCCAGCTTGCTCTGTTCTTTTCTCCCCTGAGCTTGCGTGGCCTCTGCGGCTCTGCTCCCAGGGCTGCCTAACTCCGTTCACAGCGGGGGAGCCAGAAACCGAGTTACAGGCATGTTCCCGCTCTCCCCTGCCTCCGAGCACCTGTCCGGGTGCCTCTGCAGCTTCTCGGCGCTACTGGAGGGTTGGGGAAGTGGATCGGCTGGAAGCGCATCTGCTTGGGCTGCTGCGGGGCAGAGCTGCCTTAAGATGCTTAAATACGTTGTGCAAAAAAAATAAGTCTTGGACAATCAATCACTCTGCCTGACCTGTATTGCCATGTGAGTGTTTGATGTCGGGCGTAGGCACGGTTCATCTCCTTTGTCTTGAGGGCGGAGCACGGAGGTTTTTAAGATGATTGTGTAATTCTTTCTTATCACTTTTGTTAAATTAAAATATGATTTGAAGAAGCCTCTCTCTTCTGTGGAACGAGCAGTGGGTTGTGGGATCTACTCCACATCCTCTCCTCTGAGTGAATATCTTCTGTTCTTTACCGTCACCCCTGGCTGATTCCTCTAAGCCTAGAACCCCCTTGCAAGAACACCACTGTTGTCTCTAAAACGTCTTTATTACGGTAGAAGTTTATAAAACACAAGGATGGGGAGGATGCACAGACTGGCCATCTCCCCCCTGCTAGGCAGCAGTTCTCCCCTCTCGCAGTTACATGAGCGGTAGACAGCTGATAGGGTAGCTCATGTGACACTTACACCCCCTCCCTCCTCACAGCTCTCTCCACCCAAACAAAAGATAAAGCCCAAATACCGATGATTATTAGGGAGAGTAACTTAATCCCCTTGCAAAATAATCCCTCCAAGTGGCTCAAGCAGTGGCCTAGTTCACAGGACAGCCCCTTCACGCTGGGTTCGTTACTCCTTGTTGGGATGGGCCCCCTCTTCCCTCGCAGCCGGCTCGGCAGCGCTGACTCTTAGTATTTGTTGATGCCAAAGACGCGCACGCCATGGAACTGGGGCAGCTTGGGGAGGAGGACGCTGAGGAGGGACGTCGTGTTGATTATAAAATGTGCAGGGTCGTATTTGGTATAAAAGCTGGTGAGGAGGTAACTGGAAGAGAGACAGAGCAGGGTTAGTTCTGTGGCCATCCAGTCCCCGGCTGGGGTGACGGCACATGAAAGCTATTTCTGAGGCTGGATTGACAGCAGAGGTGGTCATGCAAACATCCCAACCAATGAACCTCATGCAGAACTATTTTCCCGGCACCGGCAGAGTTCAGTCACCAGAGCCCATGCTGCTCAGGGCACAAGCCTTCAAGGACTAGCCTGATGCCCACTGGTTTGTTTCAGGCCCGAGAGCTTGTGCCCTCAGAGGGCAGCCACCTTGCCAAGGCATGCAGGGCTCTGGCCAGTTCCATTGAAAAGCGACATACTCTGTAGCCTAGGTGGCTTTCCCTGCGTAGGGGAATGCCCAGCGTAGGCTAGTGCCCAGTATGGCTTCACGCAGACTACAGCAAACCCACCTTCTCCCTGAGCCACTCACGCCTGCTCAGCTGAAGCTGGGGCCTGGCATAATGTGCTTCTAGTCTCCCTGGGCTACGCAGGGGCACTGCAGTGAGCCCCACTGAATGCCTGGGAGCTGCAGCTCTGGGCAGGTTTGAAGCACTGCTACCATAGGCCCCCTGCAGAGCAGGCAGGTCCTGGAAATGAAACCCCACTGGTAGCTCTACAGCCGACCTGCCGCAGCAGGAACGGACACTCACAGAACGACTGGTGAGATGCTGAGGAACTTGCGGGAGGAGGTGCACTGCGTCCCATAGTCGATCTGCTCCCAGTGCGTGAGCAGGCGATCCTTGCCCTGGTCCGGCGTCTCAAACGGGGTCCCTTTCACAGTGTGAAGAAACCAGTACATCACCTGCAATTCCCAGGGTGAGAAGGGAGGATGTAAGGAGAGGGCCTGGGTCCTTATGCTGTTGTATCATTAACACAATGGGGGGCAGGACACACAGCTAGAGCGCAGTGGAGCTGTGGAACTCATTGTTAGGGAGGCCAGAGTCAAAGACCACGTCTGGGTTTAGAAAAGGGCTGGCTAGGCAGGTAAGTTCTCCCTAGGTAAAGTGACTTGCCTAAGAGAACGGCAGCTGGAAACAGAACTCAGCAGTTCTTGCTCCTAAACTAGGAAAAGGATAACGACATGTCATGCGTCAGGCCACAGCTGATCATCAGCGGGGGTCAGGAAAGTACTTCCTCTATCACCTTAAGCTTTCCCAAAGACAGCACCCTCAATAGCTACATCTCTCTGAGTGCTGACCCAGCAGGGAGGGACTGGGCCTCATCCCAGCTCCGCCAGGGCCCAAAGAGCCGAGGCGAATCCTGCTCTTTCTAGCAGTGCAGGAAAAGGAGCCGGGAGGCTGAGATTTGACTCACCAGGTTGTGTATAACATTAGTGAGGGTCCAGACCACGGGAATGCTGAAGAACGGGATGCTGAGGAGAATGATATGGAGAACTCCCACCGAGATCACGTAGGCCAGCCAGATGCCACGGCTGTTCAGCACCCGTGTGTTGGGATTCACCTCGCTGTGGGCCACCCCGACGTTCATCCTGAATGAGAGACGGGGTGTAGGAGACGAGTCCAACGTTACTCATCTGAGACGACGAGGTTTTCTGATTCTGCCACGTGCCTGACGCCATCCTTCCTCGGGATCACGGCTTTCGGCACATGCCCATTCCAGGTTTCTTTCTAATACTTTGGCCTTCTGCAACATCTGGCAGCCAAGAGTCCCCAGATGCTTTATAAACATTAATGCATGAATCATCACAGCCCCCAGGCGGGTTGGTAAGGTCTCTGTATCCCCATCTTACGGGCAGAACATCAAGTCACAGAGAGGGGAAACGACCGGCCCCACAGCCACAAACTGAGGTAGCGGCAATGAGCAGCGGGACCCAGGCCTAGCTGTCTCCGCTAGCCACTCCACCCCACTCCTTGCCCGGAGCTGGGGAATAGAACCCAGGCATCCTGACTCCCAGCCCCCTCCCCTCATCCCCCACTCTCATCCACTGGATGGCACTTGTTAGTGATTCTGGAAATCCCGCAAGCAAAGCTGAAGTTGCAGGGACCCTATGCACTGCTTTTGCTCTGTAATACAGGTTTTAGTTTCTCCCCATCCTTATGGCCCCACCCCCCAATACCTACAGCTCATCCTGCATCCCATATGTCTCCCTCCACCTCTCAGCCCTTCTATGGCCGCGTCACCCCTTCCAGTAGAATAATACCACCACCACCACCTAGCTCTTTAAATCTCACTTTTCCTCAGGGGATCTCAAAGCTCTTTACAAAGGAGAGCAGTATCATGCTCTCCATTCTACCCATGGGGAAACTGAGGCACGGAGCGAGGCAATGACTCGCTCAAGGTCACCGAGCAGGCCAGGGGGAGAGCCGGGAACAGAACCCAGGTCTCCTGAGCCAGCGCTCCAGCCGCTAGTACCTCTATAGGGGCCCTGCCCACCACGAACCGCCCCGCCCCCGCAGAACGCCCGCCCCCATCCAGTGCCCGCCCACCACGAACGCCCGCCCCCATCAGTGCCCGCCCTGCAACCACCGGTGCCCCGCCCACCGCAGACCGCCCGCCCCATCGGAGCCCCGCCCACCACAGGCCGCCCTGCAACCACCGGTGCCCCGCCCATCGCAGACCGCCCCGCCCACCACGGACCGCCCCGCCCACCACAGACCGCCCCGCCCCCATCGGTGCCCCGCCCCCTACATAGCCCCCCGCCGGCAGGCCCCTATAGCTGCTCCTCCCCACCTTCCTTCCCCCTTCAGAGCCCTCGGGCCCCTATAACCGACCCCCCCCCGCCTCACCCACCTGGCGGCGGCTGCGGAACCTCCACACCGCTGCCCCGGCTCGTCTCCAGGAAGTGGCCCTGCCTGCGCCCCACCCCCGCTGCCGCCCGCTATTGGCTGCCCACCTCCGTCCCGTGCGCACCTATTGGCCCGCGTCGTCGTCGCTCACCTCTGTCCCCGCCCCTCCCTCTGTGGCCACCAATAGGAAGCCGCAGGGCCGGGTGCCGCTGGGCCAGTAGGAAGGCGCGATATTGAGGGGCGGGTTGAGCGCCCGCTCAGGAAGAGCGCGGGTCATTGGGCGGCGGGCGCTCGGGGTGGGCGGGGCCAGGCGGGAGCGACCTGAGGAGGCGACAAGATGGCGGCGGAGACCGTGGAGCTCCACAAGCTGAAGGTAACGGAGCGGGGCGCGCGCCGCGGGGCCCCGCCTCCCTCACCGTCCTCAGAGCGGGCGGGGCCTGGCCCCCGCTCCCCCTCCCCGGGGCAGCCGCGGAGCCTGACCCCCGCCTGCGCCAGAGGCCGAGACCCCCCCGGGCCGCCCGCGCCTCGCCGCCTCCGAGCGCTCAGCCCCCGCCAGCAGCACGTGCGTGGCCCGGCTCCGGCCCCGGGGCCTTCCTCCGCCCCCTGGGCTGCGCGGTGGGAGAGCAATGGAACGGGGCTGCCCCCAAGCGCTTTCCCGCCCGTGGGGACGCGCTGTGACCCCCCCCCCCCGGTGCTAGTGAAATAAGGTGCTCGGGAGAGAGTCACAAAACCCTGGGCGAGCAGCGATCTTCCCAACCCCTGGGCAGGGCGGCCACTTCCAATACTGCTGAGAAACCGCAGCTCCCCCCTTTGCCCGGGGTGGAGGGGTCACTGGCTGCCTCCTCCCCAGAGTAGGGGGTTTCCAGAGTATATTGGGGCTTCAAAAGTGGCACATCCTTTAGTTTGTGGCGGTGAGTTCCTCCACGTGCTAGCGTGTGATGCTGTTGCTTTCACACCCTGGTGCGGGCAATGCTCTAAACATGCTTCAATGGGCATTACTTTGACTGAAGCAAAAGAGTAAGGATAGGACCTGATTACGGGGTAGCCAAATATCAATCCTTGCACACACCAGGTACAGCTATTAACCTACCCAGAATCATCAGCATTCTCTAGAGGACATTCTCAGCACGTCCTCTAGTCTTTGTCTCGATAAGAAATATCACCAAACCTGTATGAGGCTAATGAACAAGCATGTCAGAATTCTACAGGGGAAGAAACTTCGCTAGCAAGGTGTTTGACCGTAATATAATCTTGGGAAGATTGTGATTGAAGCCTGTATTGAGGACTCTTAAAATTAGCCTGGGCAGAACACTAGAAAGAGTTCATTAGGGGATAATCTTGAATTGGGCCCAGGCAAATGGACTGGATAATCTAATGGCTCTTTTGTCTCTAACTTCTGTGGTTTCAATAACATGACTATAGTGTCATACAGAAGGACCTTTCATCTTAATGTCTTTGAAACAGTTAAATAGAGAGGCACATATTTTTATTTATTAGATGGGGGGGGGGAACCGATCACAGGGAGATGAACTGACTTGTCCAAGGCATCAGTAAATCATTGGCACGATTGAGGGTAGTTTCAAGAAATCCTGACTCCCTGCCCCTGCTCTAACCACTAGAACACACTCCTCTCAAATCCCAGCAGTCGTGACTCCCAGTCCCTAGACACTAGGCATCATCTCTATGCTCTTATCTTCAGAATTTTCAATTGACCATTATGATGACACTAATGATAGCAAGTAGCGATTGGAAGTTCTTCATATCTTGAGTATTTGGGGGTGAGTAGGCAGGTTTCATTATACTTAAGGAGTGTGACTAGAGATTGTTCTATAGTAACAATGTAATTTTTCTGCTGTTTTTGTCCAATGCGGGGTGTAATGTCTGTAGCTATGTTTCTGTTCCAGTCCCCAGAGCAACTCAGAATCTGCAGGATGTAAAGCAGTTCTCAGGGGAGCACAGATTCAGACCCTATGTTAATAATACATCTTTTGTCCTTCTCAAGCTCTTTTTGTCCAAGGATTGTGAAGTGCCTAGCTACCTCAGAGGGCTTGAGGCATTTGACAAATGGGAGAAATGGAAGCACCAAGAGAATGACAGAAATTGTGATGGAGAAATTCTAGTAGATTATCTGACTCCCTTCTAGTGCAGCACTGTTCCCTTCTAGTACATTTTCTGTGGAATCCTAGATATCAGGGGTAAAGTAAAATCAAGGCTACACAAAGGGAGCCTATGAAAAAGCTGGAAAGAACCCACTCATTGACTCCTGGTCCCCTCCCCAGCTCTAACCACTAGACTTATTGCCTTTTCTTTTGTCAGTGCCAATGCCCTTGGTTTATCTGGTCTGCTCATTATTTGCTTGTTTTGATCCTTTTGCTTTGGTGGTGTTTCTCCTGTTCTTTGCAAACTTGAATGAATTAAGTATGCTAATGGGAAATCTCTTCTGGTACGCAGCTTGCTGAACTGAAACAAGAATGTCTCGCCCGTGGCCTGGAGGTGAAAGGAAACAAACAGGATCTCATAAACAGACTCCAGGCCTACCTTGATGAACACGGTGGGTAATATGTTGAGCTGGAGCAAGCTTTGCAGTTCGAGGGTCCCCTCTAGCAAGGTCGACTCAGGATCCAGCTCTGGCCTTTTTTTTTTAAACAGGAATTTTGAACTCCCCCTAATTGGTTCCTTTTTATAGATTCTAGCTGTTGTGAACAGTCCCCATTACATGGGCTTGCTGTGAGACTCTTGCAATAAGAGCTGTCCTGTGGCTGTAGCCTCTGAGAATCTCCCTGATGAGACAGTCCTCAGAATTTTCTTGGTGATAGGAACACCTGATGAATTGGGCCTCATGTGGCGCTCCCATCCAAGTCTATGTATGGAGAGTGACTGTAATATTGAATAATTCAAGGTGTATTCTTTTCTTCTTTGATCCCTATTCCCACCCCCCTAAAAAACCCAAATTTATGAAGTGTCTATGTATACATTTTGTGTAACACAGGCCACAGAGCTTCTCCAAAACAATTCCTAGAGTATATGCTTACATATTGTGGTAAGATGTAAGAACCTGAATAGAATCTTTACAACATTCACTTACTTATTAGTGTGGAGAACATCAGCCTTCTAGGAGTTAATCTCTCACTAATCTGTGGATTTTTTAAAATTCTTTTAGCTGAAGAAGAAGCAAATGAAGAAGATGTTTTGGGAGAAGAAACAGAGGTAAATCCTATTACTGTGAGCAGATTATCATATTGTCAATCTATTTGTAGGTGTACCTGTGCACCAGTTTGCCTGACGTCAATGTACAGATTAATTACTCTAGATCATGTCAATCACGGTCGCAATCATGGGGAACTCCACTGTGAATGAACTGTAGTATATTTGACATTGTTACTAATGGGGTTTCTTGGGGACTGCATAACCTTGGTATGTGGCTTACATTACAAAATTGGACTCTTTTAATAGTAACCCTAAGTATGACGTATCAGAGGGGTAGCCGTGTTAGTCTGAATCTGTAAAAAGTATGAAGTAAACTGAGTTAGTTTTTAGGCCTCACTCACTGAAGAGCAGATCTTATCAACTGGAAAATATTGTGCTTAAGAAAAGCACCTGTTTTTTGTGCTTTTACATAGTGCTGTAAAAGTGAGTGGACACGGGCATAACCAGATTGCCTGAAGAAGTGAGCCTCAAAACTAAGGACTTGCACTCCGAGAGAGAACAAAGAGCTTAACCCTGGGGGGACCCGTTCGTGTTAGGAAAACTAGTCTCTTTAGGTGTTTTTATCTACCGCCAAATGTGCTGGGTTTGGATCATACATGTTGTGTATGCTCTCTTTGCCAGCTACCTTGCTGTGAGAAGGTAGGATATTGTAAACTTGAGAATGTTCTCATCCCAAGCACGTTTCCTATGTCTTCAGAAAATGTGGATTTTTTTTTTAAGTATTAGCCTTGTCAAAACAAATATAACCCACAAATAGATATACATAAAATAAATCCTTTATCCTAACACTTACGAAACCTGCTAAGACTTCATAAAAAGACCCAGCATAAATAATAAGGTCCTTGAGTTTACCCACAAGCCCAGAGGAAAAGTAGAGCCAAAAATTTTTTTGCCAATGACCTCTAGGTTAAATTCGGACCTGACATATCCAGGTGTATCTCTGCCGAAGTCCAGAGTTGCATCTTTGTATGTAATCTCTAGATTTGGCCCCATGTCTGTGTTTTTAAATACATTGCGATTTATTTGTTTGTTGTTGCACTTTGTTTTCAGTGTCTATAGAATTTTTGTTACTCTTAATACTATAAATTCAGTTGGAAGAAAAGCTCTAATCCTGCAAACACGTACGAAACTTTACTCATGTGAGTGGTCTTCAGTGTTGCAGAATCTTGTCCCAAAATACTACTGTATGGAGAAGCCAGGATAAATCTTAGCCCCTTATATTGTTCACTCAAAAAAATTAATCGCGATTAAAAAAAATTAATCATGGTTAATCGCAGTTTTAATCGCACTGTTAAACAATAGTATACCAATTGAAATTTATTAAATATTTTGGATGTTTTTCTACATTTTTCAAATGTGTTGATTTCAATTGCAATAGAGAATACAAAGTGTACAGTACTCACTTTATATTATTATTATTACAAATATTTGCACTGTAAAAATGATAAAATAAATAGTATTTTTCAATTCACCTCATACAAATACCGTATTGCAATCTCTTTATCGTTAAAGCGCAACTTACAAATGTAGATTTTTGTTTTTTTGTTACGAAACTGCATTCAAAACCAAAACAATGTAAAACTTTAGAGCCTGCAAATCCACTCGGTCCTACTTCTTGTTCAGCCAATCGCTAAGAGAAACAAGTTTGTTTACGTTTACGGGAGATAATGCTGCCCGTGTCACCCAAAAGTGAGAACAGACGTTCGGATGGCACTTTCGTAGCTGGCATTGCAAGGTACGGTATTTACGTGCCATATATGCTAAACATTTCCATGCTGATGACGCTTGTTAAATAATGTGTTAATTAAATTTGTGACTGAACTCCTTGGGGGAGAATTGTATGTCTCCTGCTTTGCTTTTTACCTGCATTCTG